ATATGCAGCTTTTCCGAGGTTTGATTGAAGGTTGGCAGTTCAAATACTCCCAGTAGAGTAGAAGTTTGGCCGCTAAGCCCGGCAAGTCATGGTTCGTATGACATATTATGGCTTTTTGTGGTTTGGGGAGGAATTTGTGGGGCAAGCCGAGGGCCGAGAACTTTGGAGGAGTTGGAATGATAACTTAAAGGGAATCCATTTTGTGGCTTGGACTGTAGGAAAAACTTTAAGGAGGTTGGATGAGTTGGACGTTGGCCAACCCGTTGGGGCCAACCACCGTAGGGAAGGGGACACAACCCGCAGAACTGGACCAATCCCTCCATCCTCCATGCACCCTCACGGGGGTCCAACTGAGGAAGTACGAGAAGATCATGGAGAAGAAGATGTCCACACCCATCGAGGCACGCCCTTCACACAAATAGGAACCACACCAACGCCAGAGAGTCGGAGGGTTTTTCTTCCAGCGCTTCGCTGGCACTGGACTGCAGGAAGACCGGAAGGCTTGAAAATGGAACACATCCGCTTGATCTAGTTGATCTAGTTAGATCCCTTTTTGCCTATTTTGGTGTTCGCAACTCCCTTAAAATGTGTGGAATTGCTTCGTGCGAGGACGCTGCTTCTGCTCCCCACCGTCTGGAAACCACCAACGGACCTCCGAAATGGCCCAAAAACGCTTCCGGGCTGATGTCATGACATCCATCAAGCTCAGCTGAAGACTTGATGTTTAGCTGGCCTACGCCCCCCAGGAAAAGTCGATGGACCTGAGATTGAGGTTCGGTGGAAGAATCTTCATGTTCATTTTTGCCTCCAAAACACCGGTGGCTCTTTTGCGTCCGCTGTTCTTTTGAACGACCTCGGACTTGGAGTCGGTGGCAGGTCTTGTGCAAGCATTTCCCTTGTGAGTTTGTGCGGGGCCCAGGGCGATCAGAAGGCCCAATCGAAAGAGAGAGTAGAGAGTCGACGGACTACCTTCTTCGATTTTTGCAGCAAAGATTTCTTGAGCAGAACCATCCAATTCAGCAACCGAAACTGGTTCTTTGAGATCATAGAAGTCGAATCAATCAAGACAAAGTTTGATTGGAAACAACTCATGTTAACAACCCAGCATCCCTAGTTTGTCCACCAAAACTCGGAGAAACAGCTTGTTCTTTCGACAAAAAAGATCAATCAATACAAACATTAGTGTATTCTTGGTTCACTCTGACTCCAGCGGTGGCGGGGGGGCTGACTGTGAATGGTTGACGCAACACATGGCTAAAGAAAAATAGCGTCAGTATACGCCATCCGATGGAGTCCAGTTACCACTATCATCAGCCCGGAACCTGTGGTTCCAACCTTAGCACCTTGGTTACTTATTCTCGTGGTAACCAAGACTGCCTGGGTATTTATGCTTGGACTCCATTCAGAATCAATGGGTGATTCCTTCACTGAGCAACCGTTTTCACCAACGTTCAGCCGAGAGAGGGAATGTAGAGTGAAAGGCGCGGCTCATGGACTGCTCAACGCGGCCACCATTTCGAACCTTCATTTAAGGACTGAGAAGTATGGACCGTGAAACCGGCGGTCTGACCCCAAACGCATCCATAGGCCGCCTACCCTTTACAAGTGCGGCCGGCCCTTTTCCCACTGGTTGGTCTAAATGTGGGGGAACCCAAACTTCCCCCCCAAAAAAAGGATCAAGGCCAACCCACCGAATCACGGTAGGCGGTCCGATCATCTTTTTCTACCGTGCACCTCAGCGGACTCCCTCGTCCGTGCCGTCGGTCACTGGGTCAGCTGTGGATCGGAGCTGTTGGGTTTTGGGTGACCCGCGTGGAGCCTCGAACGAGGCCACCTACCTGAACTACTGCCGCAGCCTGCGTTTCGAGGACCGACCTGACTACGCCTACCTGTGACCTGGCTGGTTTTTGGTGTGACCACCACTGTTTTGGAGCCTCAGATGGAGGGGTCTGACCAACGACTGTTTGGGAGCGTCTGGGAAGACGTATTTGTATTTTTTCTTTTTGCAGCGTCATTCCCCCAACATGGCGGTCTCAGACTCTTTGGGCTGATCGATCAGCATGACTTCGCCCTTGATCAACTCTTTTCATCTCTTTTCCAGATCTACGATCTACAGACGATTTTCTTCCAGATCCCTGCCACATCCAAGGCGGCGATTGCTGAAAGATCTCTTCTTCCGAGAGGGTTACCAGCCACTGGGCATGCGGATGAGACCGACGAGACCAAACGAGACGAAAACGTGGTTTCAATATCTTTCGGCAACGGATGTATTGTCGAATGGGATCCTCAGCAGAACTGCATGGGAACTCCATCTACCTCCTGTTCTCATCTCTTCTCCTAGCAAAACAAGCACCGGAACAGGGGAGGACGCATTTTGGGGGGACCAGTTCTGCAATTAGGGGACTATATAAGTGCTCAGATGGTGAACGTGGATTGTCGTTGCCGTTGGTGCTCTTCCCCCCGAATGTTTTTGCGGTTTGAGACAGAAACCTGGTAGATGACAGAAACCCGAGACTCGTGACTCTGAGACTCTATGACATAATCTCTTGAGGTACATAAACCGACCCATTTGAATTGGACATCGTCTTCATATGGCGGGTTTAAAACATCAAGAGTCTACATTAGAGGTTTTTTATGACCTTTGTCAAGCTGGCGTTAGAAATATGACTGGAACTGTCCTGTTCTCTTGAATCTTCACTCTGCAGGACGTCCCTCTTGTTCTCCCAGCCCCGGCCACCTGCCCTGTTGCCCCAAGTAATTCGCGCCGTCGCAGACGAACGCGGATGCTCAGGTATGACTTCGTCTTCGACTGGACCATCCTGCCACACGGCGGATGAACTGTCGGGTGGGTTGGGGCGATTTCCTCAGGTGTGCGTGGGAGAACGAGGGTCTTCATGGTGAATCCCAGAGTCTTGACAAGTCAGGAATAGCCCTAGTTGACCCCCTGAACACTGCCCTAAAGGTCAACCCACCCCGGTTTTGACGCACCACATCAGACTCCCCCATGGCGAAGCCGCCTTCCCCAACTTCCAGGGGCGGGGTAATGGCCCGCCATGGCCCGCCGGGCATTGGTTTCACGGCCATGCGACCCATTTTTGGTCCAACTCTTCAGCGTCCTCTGAAGCAGCGCACAAGCGCCATGCTTGTGCGCTTTCCTCTGGCGCCCAGGAACTATCAGTCTAAGGACGGTGCCTCCAGTAGACGCCGTGAGGACCGACGAGCAACGCTCAGAAACCGGTTCGTCCCGACGTCGTGGGTTCATTTGTTGGGCCTGGGGTAGACAGATGATAGCAAATGCCATCGTTTTTGGAGGGAAAAGATCTTGACCCACGGAGGCGTGGAAGTCTGTCTACAGGATAGATTGGTATTCCATTGATGCTTATTTTGATCTCATTTTGATCTTATTAAATGTCATTTCTTCCGATTTCTTCCTCTCTGATTTCATTCTCTTTCTTTGGACCTGCTTTAGAGCTTTTCGTCCTTTTTCTGCAGGCGCCCCACCATGGAAGACGCCTGTCCGACCGCTCACCCCAGCTCTTCACGGCAGCGGCCGCCGGGCCTGCTCCTCCCAGACTCGTAGCCGAAGGATTTGAAGCACCTGAAGCACAGAAGGAACCTATTATACAAGTTGGAGCCCTGTGACCCATGGGTGGGTATGACAATGACCTCCCAGGCGACCTCCTGGAAGAAGGGGAATAGACCAGTCTACCCAGCCAGGGACCCAGGGCCAGGGGGTCTCCATATTAAAATACCAGTTCTGTGGGAGACCCTGCCATCTAGGAGACTGTAGGCCAGGCTGCTTTCACAGCAGCGACTTGCAAACCTTTGGGGGAGGTCCGAATGAATCACCCCCTCCTTTAGTTGCTGATGATTCTTGAACATTTGCCGAGCTTCTGGTTGGCCATGGTCCCCGTTGTGAGGGATCAAAAGCCTCGTTCCCTCGCCAGCTCTTTCTTTCCCGAAGACGAACCACGTCGACACTTGGGGATCTTACCTTGTGGCCGATTGGATGGCTACGGACCGCCATTGGAACTTGCCTCCCTGCGACTACAGCCCTGGCAAATCAGTCGCGCCCCAAAAGTGATTGGGCCCTGAACCAAAGAACTCATTGATACCGGGGGGGGGGCGTTATGCCCTGGTGGAGATGCCATTCACCGCTGCCCGGCAAATCTCTCCAGGATGAAGGAGGAGACGGGGATTGACTTGTCGCGGAGCGACCAAGTGTACAGTTTCGACACGGCCGCGGCTGAGTGCCTTTGTCCATGCTTGGGCATGCGAATGAAGTTTAAGGTCTGCAAGATTGTTTGGTGTCTTGAACTTCAAGAACTTAGCTTGTTCTATCTCATCTGGTGATGACTGAAAAAAATGGTGTAAACCCATGAGATGTTTGGTCTGACTGGTGCTTAGTGGAAACTGATGGAACTATCCCTCAGTCCTGACACCTGCACCAGTCAGTGAGTCAGTGGTGTGAGGCTCATGTTTTGGCGCGTCTCAAAGTGCGAATCCCTGAAGAAAATGATGGACATCAGTAAAACAGGATCAACCATCTCACTCTCACATTGGTTGAATCAGGGATTGCTGGTGCTTCAGGGGTTCCTAAGTCTTTGAAACACCGCTGTGATGGGGTTTCACACCTGCTCAGGCCACTCCTTTCCGCCCATCCTCTCTCGGCCCCACGACACCCGGCCTCGTCCAAACCGGGTCTCTGCCGGACTGGTCCGGAAGCGCCGCGCTTTCCGCCGCACGCCTCCGGATGCTTCCGCCGCCTTCCGCACGGGCGAGGCGCACAAAAGGAGGAGCGCGAGCGAGGATCCGGGGAGAGAATTCACCAGGCCTGGTCAAAGCCCAATGTAGGTGGTGTCCGCTGGATAAGGCTAGTAAGGTTGATAGAGGAGATGATGGGTCCGTGATGGTCAGTGGGTGAGGCGTGATGTTGTCCAGTCACCTTTTCTCTTTTGGAAGCGTTTTTGGACACTTGAACTCATTGAACCCCAAAAGAGATGTTGCATGGGTTTGTGGAAGCCCAAAGTTGGAGTTCAGTCTCAACCAAGGGAGTTCCCATGCTTCAAAAAGCCCGGGCTACCCGGAATCTACTGTGTGCCTTTCAATCGATCTCATGTTCTCCGTCCCATCTGCCGCGGTTCGCCGCGGTTCGGCGCGGACGGTTCTTACCGATGGCCACCGGCTCGAGTGAAGAGACGCTTCTCTCGTCCTTCGCGCTGCAAACACACTGCTTAGGCTCGGCCTCTGGGGGCGGGCAGGGCCCTGCCCGCGGGTCTACGTCGCGCCTCCCAGTGTGCCACGTGCTCGCGTCTGCATCTGCCACTGGAGGGTGGTGACCGAACAATGGGTACATGTGGGTACTCTCCGACTCACCAACATGGAGGTGGAACATGGTCGATGGCACCCCCTGGGCAGATGGGCAGGAACGTCGTCTTCCTGTCGAAGACATGCCATCCACATCCAGCAGTTCTCCTCGAACGAACTGGGATTCCGGTCTCCCCAGGAGGTGAAAAGCACCATCCGGTGTTGATCTATCACCTGATTTTTTTTTGCTTCACATCGATGTTGTATGACTCATGATGACAGCTATGAGTCATTCCAAGTGGCCTCAACAGACCACTGCTTCCCCCGTGCTTGGGCCCCGTGCTTGCGCCAGGCATGACCTTCTACCGAGCGGTGACGAAGACCTTGCTCCGCACGATGGCGGCGGAGCGTGCGGTGGTGCCCTGGCACGGGCCCCCAGAGAGGGAGAGAGAGAGAGAGAGAGAGCCCCATGGCAGATCATGGGCTCCTGACGGGTCAGTCTGACCTCATTCGGAATAGGTCCCAAAGCATCGAAAGCACGAGGGCTTCGGACAAGGTCATGGACCAGGGCCTAAGTATGAGCTGGGGCCTTTGGACCTGGAGGGGTTGCAAGTTCTTCTTCAGTTGACCCTGGACCTGGTTACGAAGAGGCGCCTCTTGTTTTTGGCTCCGTTGTGGGTCAGACATGGACCAGGCAGATCCCTCACAGCCGAGGCAATAGGCGATTGTAGGCGTGAAGGGCACTGCCTTGGATTGATCCGGCAGTGCAAACGTGGAACTTTGACCAGAATGATGGGTAGAGGAAGAACGGTGCAAGAGCACAGGTGCTCTTGCGCCAGGCTTGTGGCCTCCTGTGACACTTCGCCACAGGCAGCAGCCCAATCACTTGAAGCTTCTACACGACTATATATGACTATATAAGTCTACACTCCCTGAGCTCATCATGGAAGCGGATGGTGGCCCCGATTGGATGACCATTTTCCTCTTTGAAACAGGTTGTTTTCCACATCCAAATAATGAGTGTATGTAAACTTCCGAAAACGGAGTCGAGCTGCCCAAAGGCTCCCTTTGACACTGACATACCGCTGCTGCTTCTTCCTTCTCGCTCCAGGTATCATGAGGAAAAAGTGCTCTCCCCCATCGAGCAGTTTTGCAAGGCACGTGGAGAAGCATCACCTTGCGCTTGCCACCAGAAGCCACCCATCAATCCGACCGATGGGACCGTGCGATGGGACTGTCCGGTTGGGATTGGAAGTCACCTGGAAGCACCTGGAACCTGGTTTCCACTGGTTTTCAGGGACCCCTCAGTCTTCGGTGTGACCCGTCTTAGAGGAGAGAAGGTGGTCCTGCGAAGCCCGTGAACCAGGAGTTGCTGCGCCATCCGATTGGGGCTGTGGGCTGTAGTTTGATGAAGCCAGATCTGAATTCGACCCTTGACACCCCTCACTCGCGCAATAAAATACAACAAGCATGGGGGAAAAAGAACCCATCACCCATCTTCTCATTCTCCTGCCGATTTATCAGTATCACCAGTGCATACCAGTGCGATGCCAGGCCAACATCTACCCCATTTGGTTCAAGTACGTCAAGGGTCCTTTCGATCGTTATGGGCCAGCGACCCCAGATCGGGACCACGAGACGAAACGGGGCATGGGCATCGGCACGCGAAGCACATCGTGTGGCATCCGGGGGTGCCGGAGGCCGGAGGTGTTTGGAATCCTTGGTTTGAGATCCAGTTGCCTGAAAACACCAGGGTGGACCTGATTTTCTAGAAAGCCAGTCGTTTGAAGCTGATCAAGACCTGTTGCACCATGTTACCCACGACGTCCAGGGTGGTTTGTTGCTTGTCCTAATATCCCGTTGTTGGACCAGCGACCTGCCATGTTTGGATACAGTTGGGACGCGAGAGAAACACGGATGAATCCTGTACAGCTGTTCATGTCGTTCATGTCGAGCGGTCCGGATCGGTTTGGACCCAAAGGTATGAGAGTTTGGTCTCCGAGCTGCGTGGCCATGGGCTGATGCTGGACCGGATCTCGGGGGGAAGGGGGTGGGGGGGCGTTGGTGGAGGGAGGGTGAGGTGGCTTGATGTGGATTGATTGCAACTGGAGTTGCTGGAAGCTGGGATGGAAGTAGTTGCTGGAAGATGGCAATTTTCCAGAGAACCTTTGCGGAGATACAGATCTGGCAATCTCTGGCACAATTGTGATTCATTTTTTGGGGCGATGGCAAACAACTTGGGGATGGATGCCCCCCTTTGGATTCCCTGAAGCTCAGAGGGGAGACGTTGGGAAGTGGCCCTGTGTATGAAAGAGCATCAAATGGCTGCATGGAATTTGCATCCAGCTTGGCAGGATGACCAGCTCAATGACAAGGACAGAGGGGCCGGTGTCCGTTGAGTGGCGCGCTGGGCCGGGCAACCGGGGTGGAAGGGACTAGGTAGTCCAGTCGATATGTCTTGCGTGACGTGGTGGTGCGTATGGGGTATTTGGGACGGACAGCTGCGATTGACCAGCGACACGACCACGGTCTTGACGTCAAGACCCGGCTACCACGACCTTTTCTTCCTTCCCAGGAGAGGGGGGGTTGTCATTCATCAGTCAAAACCCTGGAGTCCTTGTGCACCATGTAGCTTGACCTTCCAGGTAGGTCAAGACAATTTCCCCCGGTTTCGACCCACAGCCAAATTGTCTTGAGTCAAGCCGGGGTGCATCCCCCCATGGTGACCCGCCCTGGACAGAGTTGAATGGTCTTCAATCATGCCTGGCTGCGTCTCTTGTCCTGGGCCCTCGCAATTCCATCGCCTGGCTTCACTGAAGCAGGCTATGGCCGTCACAGCAGGCGATTTGTGCCAGACTGCCAGATTTCAAGGCCACCGCATCCGGATCCCTGGTGAGTGCAACTGTTTCGATGTCATCCCTTGTGCCAGGACCCGATTTCAATCTCCAAACCAACCCTGTAAGGATCCAACTCGAAGCCCCTGGTCTGGTTCCCCCCAACCCATCCTTGCCCCCAGCCCCCCCAGCTCCAGACCAGTTCGGTGCTCCGTGCCACCGCCCCGGTGGCCGGTTCCGCCCGAGAACGCTGCGCAGCAGGAGCCTCTCATCGAACGTGCCTTGGAGCTGCTGCCGCCGGATCTCATCATGGGCCGTTACCGTCGTTTGATGCGGGCCCGGGAGACTCAGAATCGGGTCATCGGGTGACAGGTGAAAAGCGATCAATCGCTTCAGAGACCAGTCACGGAACTCGGGCGCGCCAAACGAGGGAGACCAGTGACGGAGTGCGAAAGAGTGAATTCAAAGAGAGTGGTTGGCTAGAGGTCCCCGATCCGAATAGCCGATGCATGCCGATGCATGCCATATGCATGCCTATGCATGCCCATGCCGTAGCCTATCCTGCAAGCAGGTGTTGTCAGGAACCAGGGGTCTGATGGTCCTTTGGGCAGTTTCACCCCGTGGGCCACCCTTGTAGAGTGAGTCAGAAAGGTGGTTTTTCTAAGCCCCTTCGACCCGCGGCATTGTGACGCGTCCGGTCAGGCTGCTGGGGTCTGGGGTTGTGTTGATGTCAAAGCATCGTCCAAGCTGGAATCCGTGTTCGAAGCTGAAGTGTTCGAAGCTGAAGGTGCTTCGCGTAGGATCGCCCTTCCTGGTTCCACCTAAAGTCTCAACACTGACACTATCGGTGTTGAGGGAACCATAGGGAACCTTACAGCTTCTTCAAGAAACACCTGCATCAGGAGGGTCGTGCAGGATATTCTTGGGGCTTTTGTGATGTTCAGGAATCCTGACAGATGACTCCTATGGAAACTGTGAACGCGTGAGACTGGACACACCGGTGACCTGAAAGACACGTTTTCACAAGCAGACACTAAATCTGTGTAGACTTTTGAATGGTTGAGCCATGTTGAGCCTTTTGACGCCTCGCCCGCATAAAGATATCAAGGCTCAGGAGATGTATGCCAAGAAGATTCACTTGCCCTTGTCTGAGCAGTCCGGGCCTCATCTTGGATGTCAGATGTGGGAGATGGTGATGGTGTCGCTCATGGGAAAAATCGCCGCATATCCTTGCTTTCTTCAGAGTTCCCACCAGTTGTGATGTTCGTCGGCTTCCTCTTGAGGCCTTGGCCATGAGTCTTCTTTTTACAGAATTCACCATGCTGAACATGAAGGTGCTGGGGGTCATGGATGGTCATGGTACGAGTTGATTGACCCTGAACTAGACGGACCCATCTGCAGCCTACTTGGGGTGCCAACCGATGGGTGTTTTAGGTCAATGGGGGTCTAGTCCGACTGACCTCGTTCTCCCAGTGTTTCCCTTTAGCCTATAACCATTGAGTGCTGTTCGTCACCGTCGTGCCGTCCTTGGAACTTGCGGGAATGGCCCGCCCGATGACTCGGCAATGGCATCATGTGGGCATGCCAACGGAGGGAAAGACGATCGGGGGAACCGGGAGCGCTGAGGAACTATGACCCGATGATCCCATACATGGCCTTTCAGCTGCATATAGCGAGCATCGCATCCGCGAGCGCGTGCTGGTCACCACGGTCGGTCACCGTGTGTGTTTGCTTCTGCAGTTCGGGTAATTCTGGCACCACCTTGGCTGGGGAGGTGCTTTTGGGGAGGTGGGAAAATACACAGCTGCGGAGCGATCATCATGTGATAATTCCGTTCCAGATAGTTCCTGGTTTGGTGCCTGGTAGCCCCCCTTTGGCCTCAGAAAAAATGATGAAGCTTCCTTAGATTAGATTTGAACTTGCAAACTGGCCACACCATCTCTGAAAGCCCTTTTCTTGCCGTGAGTCGGTCGTGAAACACTCGGTCGCGAGGCGCCTTTCATGGAGGAGGCCAAGTTTCAACTGCAGGAGGAGCAAGAGCTGCTGCAGTTGGGGGAGCCCAGACAAGCTGCCACGTGACGTGTTCTTTTTTTGTTTGGCATTCTTTTGGTGGATGGTTCTTCGCTTCTTTCGGTGGGCAACGGTGATATCAGGCTATGCTCCACGGGTTTTGATGCTGCTTCGGCTCATTTGTTGGTGGAGTGACCACCACGGACCGGCCGGTGGCCTCCCTACCACACCTCCACCTCCACCTCCGGCTTTCGGTGGGACTGAGGTTTCATCCGTGGGACCGGCGCCTCTTCTCGGGCTACAACACGGGCTTGGGCGAGTCGACGCCCTACTCCACCTTCATGACCTGGTGGGCGGTTCGGGGGGGCACCACCGGCCGGTCTCCGGTGCGGCGGTGCCGGGTGACCTGTAGAGTTGGGTGCTGGTAAAGGAGCCCAAACTCTCGTAGCAGCTTAGAGCAGTTGATGGAAGTCTGGGTGGACCGGTACTTAGGGGGACCTCAGGTTGGGGAGTGGAGCTCGAGCGAAGTGGGCATGAATGGGGTCGAACCATTGGCGGGCGCTTCAAGATGTATTCTTGGGATGCTGAGAGGTGAGGATATTCTAGATGCGAGCGAGTAGGCTAGCCACCATCAACTCCCCTCCAAAAGCTTATTGGATGTTCAGTTCGACAAAGAAGCACCTCTTCTACTCTAGGGGGATTAACATGTCATCACCACCACCTCCCTTCAGGGTCATCCAAAAACTATTTGGGCATATTGAAGGCAATTTGAAGGAGTACCTACATTAGATGAAGCTGACAAGACCAAAGTGGCGCTGTTCAGCTGTCTTTTCTGGTGGAGTCGACATTTGTTTGATCCTAGCGGGTCTAGAGTCTAGAGGAGTGTGGAACTTTGGAGCTCTCCCCTTCTTCACAGGACTGGCACGGCAAGCAACAAAGCAACAAGACCCATGACAAAGGTATTTTCAGTTCGCCTGATTTGGGGCAACAGCAACCACCAAACAATACCTGTTTCAGCTGTCCTTCAACCCCCCACCCTGGATGGTTCTGAGATCCAGACATTTTCTGGTGCTATGCGGGTTTGGGGGCCTGAACTTCCGGCCTTCGTCTTCTCAGGACTCTAGTGGTTTAGGGTCCATGTGGCCATGTGAATCCCTACGCCTACACCCAACTCTACAGGTCTCCTCTGGTGTCTTTTTGGAGACTTCAAAGATCAAAGTGGCAGGTGGTGACCTGTAGAGTCGGGCCCTGGAGAGTCGGGATGGTTGCTCCATGTTGCTTCACTGCATGACAGGTGAGTGGGCCCGTCTGACGGCACGCTGTCTTTTTTTCACGCTGGAGTGAGTAGAATCGATTACGGCCGGATAGCGAGAGACATTGGTGACTTTTAGAAGTCAAAGAATTGACACGTGGCGCTGTTCATGGTTCATCTGACCTATGCCGCTAGCTAGCTATGCCCTTCTGTTTGGGAGAGACCGTTTTTTTGAAAGGCCCCAAAACATGTTAGGCGCCCAACACATCCCAACACATTATGACATATGATGAAGTATTATGGACAAAATTCTTGGTTGGATTGAAAGAGGAAGCCTTGGACTCCTCCAGTGGCCCGGGGCTCGCTGTGCGGCTCGCTGCGTTTGAAAAACGCGGCGCAGCACTGACTCCCGATCCCTGGTGGCCCACGTAAGGGGACGCGGATGCCATCCGCGTCCCTGTGGCCATGGAGTCCAAGTTGAGTGTATCAAAAGCCATGTCCATGAAATTCCAAGTGGCACTTGTCTGACGTGTGGCTGTGAAAAATAGATGCTCGGTCTTGGCGGAGCTGGAGGATTGGGGTGCAAGATGTTTTTGAGTCTCCGAGCACCCCAAAGGGATGAGTGCGCCTTACAGTGCCTTGCTTTGCAAAAGAACCGCCGACCCCACCCCCTGCACCCCTGGAACTTTCAGGGTCCCCAGTCCAGAGGCATGAGCCGAATATATAGCCATGCTGAAACGCAAATCCCACTAAGCGACATTCACTGTCACAGCGAAGAGAACTGAGGATCCTTCGAAGCACTGCACCCGCGCAGCAAAATCGTAGTAAAATCATCCTCCACACTTCAACATGTTGCGTTTCTACGCCATTTCACACGAATCTGCTGCTGGTGCTGCTCCTCCTCCTGCTACTACTACTCCTACTCCTACTCCTACTCTACTTCAGTACTACCGGGGTAAAATGAGTCATGACTGGACGAGTTCAGGGGCGATGCGCTTGATGGGACCGAATTCCAGGCAAAGTCTCCATCGCGAAGATTGAGATGGAGCGATCTAAAGCGGGAAGGGATGAACAGCGAGGGGATGTGCTGGGAGGCTCATCAGAGGAGCTGCTCTTGGGTTTCACCACCCCCAACATTTGGTGTCGTCATCCCGATTTTTTGACACCTTTCTTGAGGATGGGACACACGTGACATTTTTGCAGGAAAAGGACGTTTGCGCGAAACACTTCTGGAAGAAGGTGAGGAGGCCTCCTCACTCCACCACACGGTCAATATGATATTGGAATGATGAACAGCACTTGATGGGCTTCCAGAGCTAGTGTTGATGCGAATTGATTCCTTTTGTCCACTCCTTCTTGGCCGATTGCGACCATTGGATTCCATTGGATTCATTCATCAAAGCACAGGCGGCAGTTCGCTCTTCCAACAAACTAATGATTTCGCCAGCCAACGTCTTCCGATGGGTAGCTTTAGTTCAGAGTCCTGCAAGGTCTCAGCTAGGTAGCATATATTTCAGCATATTTCAGCTATACCTGGAGCCTTCGTGAACGCGTGATGCAGCTAGCTATATACCAGATTTTTCAGTACGCAAGCGCTCCATCCATGTTCGTCCGCGCATGGAACAAAAGAATGCGTTTCATCACCATGTTTGCTTTACCCTCTACCGAGTCTTGGGGTGAAGATGCTTTGGGACGACGTGGATATGAATGGACGACGTGGGTGTTTTGACTCAGCTCCAGCTGGCAACAGATTGACTCAAATCCAGCGGACTCGTGTTTTGGTGTGTATCTTTTCAGTGCCGCGTTCTCTGAACAGTCATTGTAGCTACGGTACGGTAGTCATGGTTTTGGCATCGCCAGAGGCTGCGCCGGCTGAAGACTGTGGATCGCCCGGTCTTCATGCCCCGTTCGCGCATCTTGAGCCACGGCTTCAGGCCACGCTCCGTGGCTTCAGGCTTCGGAATCGGGGAGCGTTTGGGAACGAAAGAAGTGGATTTTGGGATCCAAAACCATTGAGGTGGACTGGTGCACTCTGACTCACCAACATGGACTCCGAAAAAGGGCCCCTGGAAGACCGTTTTCCTTTATTAGATAAACTTAATCCTTTACAAGCAGAAGGTTTTCCACTTCCACGCTTGTGAGTCGGAGGGTCCATAGTCTCATCATGGCATAGCCTCATCATGGATCCATAGCCTCGCACTAACTCACAGAGCCGGGTGGTCGGCTGTCTACATACGGTTGTTTTCATGGTTTTTCTGCTGGGTCGGATGGCCGCTTTCCGGGCTTGAAGGCATGGCCACGAAGGCATGGAGTCTGTCACCCGGGTCGGTCTCCCTCGTGGCTTGGGCTGTTTCCCTGCTGGGGTCCATCATCGAGGGAACGGATCAGTATAGGCCACGGGGTCTTACTTATCTTGCTGTCCTGATCTATATCTGTCCTATTGCGTAAAACTCAGGACGGTCCCAATGGTTTTTTCAAGTGTTCATGTGCCATTGGCTGGAGTACTGCTCTGACGGAACTCCGCACAGAGGGAAACCCATTGAGCTTCATGCCTTTGTGCTTCCAGGTGGTGCAGGATGTCCTGTAGCAAACACGCGACAAACGGGGCTCCTGGCCTTACTACTAGGGACAAGAAGCTACTAGTTGAATCTAGTTGATAGGAAGTCCTACCACTTGCTTCCAAGGGGTCACTACTCCTAGTTTTCCATTGGACACCCCGATGCGCTAGGTAGAGAATCCCTCCCCCATTGCCATTCGGTCTCATTTCTTGGGCTTCTCCCGTCGACGCGTCAGGCCGTGGCAGGCCGAATTGGCGTTGGACGCCGTGAATTCGAGTCGAGAGTGCACGACTGTGGGGGTTCTCAACTTGTGGGTTGGAGAAGGAAATGGCTCAACTGATGGGATAGTCCCTGGACAAGGTCATCATTGAACTGATTTCTGACATCCCTTATCATTCCCCAATCAGTCTACACTGGCAGCCCGTTCTTTTTGCCTTTTCCATCATTTTCCATCTGCTTATGCTTCAGCTAAGAGCTTTTTCTGGCCGAATTCCCATGAATCAGAATTGACTTTAAAGAGGCGCTTAGGCCGAAAAGGTATGCTGAGTATCTCCGTGCCTGTTTTGGGTCGGTGATGAAGGAAGCCGTCCGCAAAAGTCATGGACCAGCAGAGAATGCTCCGGAAGATGATTGACTGCTAAGGCAGGGAGTGGACAATGGCAGGCGTGGTGTGGGATCTTTCGTTTTGATTACCTGTGGAAGAGGTACTGTAAGACAGTCATTTCATCTCTCCGCGAACCAAATGCATGGCAGCTGCTTCCTGTTCAAGTCACCTGGCCGCACAACCCTACACGACTTAGCCAACCGGAAGCACTAGTTCATACGTTCACCCTAGGCCCTATAGTCAAGATAGTAGCACTGTACACACACCATGTGCACCAGACTTCACGCGTTGAGACATGTTTATAATTATTCATCAAAGGTCCCAACGGAGGGCGATGGGGGGTGCCGAAAACCGAAGGGGACTGATGCGGACCCGCAGGGTTCCGGGAAGGATCCCTCCCCGTAAGCGTCCGGAAAGGATGACCCTCATTCCCGACTCTCGTCGCGGCAGGCCCCGCCTGGGCACGTCCGCAGGTGCACACGGTGAAACGAGGTTGGGCGACCTTGACGCCCGCGCTACAGGCGCAATGGAGCCGCTGGAACCGTGAGTCTGAACCTGAAACTGGTCAAGTCCGCCATGGCCCTGAGACTTGTGACACTCCCTGACATCATCATGGTTTACGTGGATGGCACGGCCCCTGGCCCCTTGGATGACCATTCAGTTGGGTTTTCCACCAATGTAAGTCATTATCGTGCCAATGCCCCCCACTTCAGAGATGCCCAGACAGATCGAGCCGAGCACCCCAAACACCATTTTCACGAGGAGTTCTCACGTGGTGCTTTTTTGTCACTCTACGTAAGTGGATGTGCACCCTACCCTCCAATAAGCATCCCTTTGGAACTGCTGGAACTTCGATTTCTTTTCCGATTTTTTGATATATCAGTCAAGTGAGCAGCGCATTTTGGACACGTGGGATTCGGGCACATACACTGTTTTGGGGTCATGACTGGCAGGCGAATCTCAAGCGATCTCAAGCGTCATTATTCCCAAGATCTGATTCATGAAGGGATCACACCGAAACAGTATATAAATGCATTAGCCGTGTAATTCGCAATGTTAGGCTCTGTTCATTTGGAACTGCCTTTTCGAACCCAAAGCACCCCGGGCGCACCGCCCCTTTAGAGCTTTCTCTCGCGCGTATCGCGTATCTGTTCGAGGGCGCCTTGACAGAAGCGATGTCCCAAAGTCAGGCCTGGAGGATCAGGTAGGGATGGATTCAAACGTCTTCCCAGGGTCCTACAGGGTCCTATAGGGTTGGTGGGTGAACCCTCAACATGCCAGTGATCCTCTCGCTCTTGAATCATAAAACTCTGAACCTCAGCATGCCATCTGGGAAGAGAACCAGCGATGCGAGGCCTGAACCCTCACAAAGCACACCCCGAAGGGAAAAAAGAACACTGCCTTTCTGGGAAGAGATGCTGCTTCGGGTTGTTTGGTTACAACTATTTGATCTAGACAATCGTTGGAGGCCCAGTGCCGGGCGGATGGAAAGCAAAGCGAGCAAAGTGCTGGTCAAGTGGGTGTGGGTCAACAAAGAAAGCTGGATGGCAATGGAGCAACATAAAAATGGTGGACATGATTCAGGATTCATCTCCACATAACAATAAGTTAAATATATGCGAATGGAAGTGCAGCGACACGTACAGTGCAACTTGTACATATATATGTACCATATGTACTTTGGCTCAAGGATCAAGCGACTAGAAAAGGTGCGGTTTCCGTTCCGACGCTACGCCGCTTATGGACCGTCAGTGATAGCTTCAAACTTCGCTGATTAAGATCCACTCGCAGGTTATCAGCCGTACGCGCTCTTTATAGCCGTACGAGCTACACGAGACCAAGAACAAGACTAGTCATTACAGAAACCTGCAATGTCAAGCTCAGGAGGAAATGGAAGCGAACCCTATTCATTCGCTGCTCCTGGTGGTCCCAACACCACTTCGTCACCAGACTCTATAATGGGTACTGACTCATCAGCAAATGCTGACGTTATCACTATGCCTACTGGATCACAAATCTCGGAAAGATCCGTGCCACCGGCTCGGAATCTGACCGATCTTGCACCCGTAGGACCAAGAAGATCGATGAGAGCTACAACAAGATCTACATCGCCTATAACGTCTACCGCGAGATCCCCAAGAAGGAGTATAGAGAAGAGACGTGACGATGATAGAGGAACAAAAGAGCAAAGAAGAGAGATTCAGCTGGGTGAAGAATTGAGATCGGCGAGAAACGCATACAATTTTCTTCATGAAGAATATGAATGCATCCAAGCCGGATACTCACGACTACACCACGAGGCTGAAGTGGAGTTCAAGCAAATGTCTGACTACAACAGGAAGATGCAGGAACATCTACAAAAGATGACACAGGAAGATGAAGGAGCGACAATAAGAATTGAAGAGCTCGAACACAAGCTACGCTTGGCGGAATCGACAGCTGAACATATCTACATGAGATATCAAGAGCTTGCACAAGAAACTCATCAAGAACATTCAGAGCTTGAATCTGTGAAAGCAACGAAGGACAGAATGTCCCAAGAGCTTCAAGCAGCAATTGGACACATCCAAGAACAGAATGAATCTTCATTGGCGATCAATAGAAGATCAAAAGCCATTCAGGATGAGAACACAGCCTTCGTCGGAATAGCTGACCAGATACAAGCTAGAATGATTGCGCTACAGGATGAGAATGTCAACATGCACAAGGTGATCCAACACCAGAGAGAAGAACAATGGAACAGTGAGGTCAGGGAAAGACGTCTTCAACACAGTGTTCACTCATCTCAAGATCAGAGCAATCAGGAAGCTATGGTTATTGATCATCTACGAGGTCAACTAGCTATGGCACGTGGAGCTGAACTCAACGCGAGAGCGGAGATAGAAGAGATGGAAGTGGGCATGAGGATGGAGATATTTGTATGCCAGACTGAAGTCTCTGCTAAAGAAATGGCAGAAATGAAGGCGAGCCACCATGAATACGAAGCAAACGTCGCAAAGGAGGTTATCGCAAAAGGAGAAATATTCAATAACGAAGTCCTAGAAGGTTCCATCCGTGAACGACAACAGTTGAAAGACGCCAACCTCGCTCTATCCGAAGCCAACGCACAGCTGAAAAGAGAGAATATGATGAGAGCTCCTATGTTCGGCGATGATGGTGCTGAAATTCAACAGAAGATCAGAGAACTGGAGAATGCACTATTGGAAAGCCAGAAGGAGACAAAGAATGTCATTATGGAAAATGCGAAATTAAAAGCAGAAGCACGAATGGCACCCATAGTCTCTCGGTACAGCAAGCGTCCTAGTTCCAGAGACCGCGGGTTACCAACCCACGCGTCCGAGGAAGATGAGATTCGGAACGCAAAAGAGGAGGCGAAGCACTACAAGGACGGGTACAATGAAATGACAGAGAGCCGAGATGAGATGTATGAATGGTATGCCGAAACCCACAATGAGTACGCCGAGGAAAGGGAGAAATCAATTGAGCTATCCGAGGCGAACAAATCATTGAGGGACAAGATTTCAGAAGCAGAAGCATCCTCTTCATCTCATCTTGCACCGGCAACCTCTACAATCATGAAAGTATCGAGGAAGGAAGAATCAAAGATAAACGTTCCGTCATGGCCCAGGATCAATGATCTTGGACTATGGAAGGCAAATCTCATTCAATCGATCATCATTGCGGCCAATGATTCAGATCAAGAGCCCTGGATCGACTGGATCAAAGAAGCCATGGACGATCCTGATCCGGACAAGTTTGTCGACTCAGGAGACCAAAGATTCCATTCAATCGATGCCAAACTCGGCCTAGCTCTTACCAAGGTCGTCATGGATGCGAAAGATGATGGTTCAGGTGTAGCTATGAAGTTGAGGACGAGGATCAATGCAAAAGGGAGAACATCAAGCCTCATAAAGGGAAGAGAGGTCCTAGCCCTGATCCTTATGAATTTCAAGACAACATCAAATGTGGAAGTCTTATATACTTCAATGCACCTCTACCAACTAGAATATCAAGGAGACAAGAACTTATCGTTGTTCTTCCACACTTGGGATGAGATTCTGGCAGGAATGAAGCCCGTTGACGTCCCGAGCGACGAAACTCTTCGGGATCTCCTATGGAGAAAGATCAGGAACTCAAACCTCATGGCATACGACATCAGCGCCTACAACAGCATGAACGACGATGATGCCAAGAAGACATACAAACATCTACGTGATATGATCAGAAGGCACATCGAACGGCAAACTGAAGACAGGATGATCCTGGAAAAGGAGAAGGCAGTGAAGAATGTGGCCAATATCTTTCAGAATCTCAAACCAGGCGGACCTGCTCCAAAACTGAAAGCTGCACCAGCTGATCCGAAGAAGAAACCAAAAGGGCAACAAGAACAGGTTGTCTCAGAAGACGCTGCTGCAGTGAAGCCGAAACCCAATCCCAAGAAGCATCCTGAAGACAAGAACAAAAAGGGAAAGGGGAAAGGTAAAGGTGATGGAAAGGATCGCAGCCGAAGTCCGAGTACAGACAAGAAGAAGATACCATGCAAATACTTCGTGAAAGGTAACTGCACTATGGGGAAAGATTGCCCATTCAGTCACAAGAAACCCAGATCACCATCCAGAGGATCTTCTGTCGGAAAGAATGACAAGCCAGTATGTTGGATGTGGATTCGAGGAACTTGTGACAAAGGGAAGGATTGCAAGTTCTACCATGACCCAAAAGCCTCTCCTAAGAAAGGGATATCTGCACCAGCTGACTCAGGAGACGATAGGCCAAAGCCCAAGGCAAAACCCAAACCGAAGCCTAAGGCGAAGCCTGGAGCCCCAGCCATTGACGGTGAACTCTTCATGGACGAATCCGAAGATGAAGGGATTGCTGCATCCGCCAAGGCAAGAGAAGGAGGTGCAAAAGTATCCTTTGATGAAGAGACTTGTGAGATCATGTTGAACGAAGCGATCTACTCAGTCAGGGACAAATGGAAGGTAGTAGAAAAGAAACCTCTACGTCCGGACATCAAACGATACGATGAGAAAGAGCTCACCTGCTACACGAGGAAAGAACAAATCAGATTTGAAGAAAAGGTCGCAGAGGCGAGAGGCATATTGATGGTCCCCTACACTGAGATCAAGAGGGTCCGAATACCAGTTGGACCAAAGGGTGACCTATCGGTCACTATGTCTTTTGACGAAGATGACGGCCTAGTTTTCCATCGTAAAGTCATTCCTCATGTATGCGAGGGAAAGAAAGATCATGCAGACACAAAGACATTGTCTATTCCAGCCAAAGGGTCAAGAACGAAGTTCATCATGGACACAGGATGTGGATATGATTTGATATCGAAAGGCAGAGCCAAGAAATTAGGTCTGGAAGTGAGAGAAAGCGACCAATCAATGTCATTCTATACTGCAAATGGAGTGACATCCACAAAAGGAGTCGCCGACATTCATTTCGACGAATTTGACTCTACCTACTCCCCATTCGTCCTAGATGAGTCTCCTTCAGTACTGTCTGTTGGAAAGAAATGCATGGAGGAAGGATACACATTCATATGGCCAGCCTGCGGCAACCCGTACATGGTTTCCCCGAACTACAAGAAAATCATGTTAGAAGTAGAGGGAAACATCCCATATATTGTCAAGGGCAGTGACTTCTGTACTCCCACCGACGATACAAGGGCGGAGATGATCGCAAGGTTCACCCTAGGAAAAGATGAAGCTGATTACCAATCGACTTTCATCAACTGTGATGTGGATCCTCAAGGAATCATGTGTGATGATGACGACCTTCCTGTGATTGAGCCTCCAAAAGTCAAAAGGCGAAAGAGGAATAAGAAGTTCAAGGCATCTCCGGGAGAAGAAGATGAGGTAGGATCAGATGTCGCCGGAGACAGTGAACCAGAAGCTGACGATGATGATGCAGATGACATCGAGGTGGATGTTGTTGACGGTGCAAGTAGAATGGTGAGAAGAGGAACTCTGAAAGCAGATGCCAGGAAAATCG